ATAAAATATTATTTTTATATTTTATATATATATATATATATATATATATATATATATATATTAGTGGTGTCAAAATTAGCGCGTTAGTGCAGGCGATTAATGTTTTTCAGTTTAACGCGTGCTCTTCAATTGCACGAACAAAGGCGTCGGCGTCCTGTAGCCTGTGTCCTTTCATATGAAAGCGCGAAATAAACTACGTGCATGCAATGTCGTGGTCAGTTAAGTCATGAAGTTACCAAAAAGGCGATTAAAGCTGCCTTAAAACTGTGCATGCATGTAATATATTTTATATGAGTCACATTTAAGAACATGTCTCTGAAATGGTTTCAAAACTGTCCTGGAGCCCAGCACTGTCTCACTCATCTAACACACCCGATTTAACTTGTCAGCTCATTAATAGAGACTTTAAGACCTGAAGTGGGTCAGAAAAGTAAAAAGAGTTGAGAGAAAATATGATGCGTGTCAGATCTGCGTCACGTTCAGCAGCGGCAGCTCTTAAAGAAATAGCAGCCAAAATAACCTAATAACCAGCTGCTGTGATTATATAATTAATTTAATTAATAATAATTTTAATTAATTAATTTATGCATTTAGCATTTAATTTAATAATAATTTATGCACTTCAAGTGCATTCAGGCTATACATTTTTTACCAGTATGCGTGTTCCTTGGGAATCGAACCCACGCCCTTTTATACTGCTAACGCAATGCTCTACCACTGAGCCACAGGAGTTTTATTTATGTATTTTATATATTAGATAGTATATAGTATTATTATTGTTAATGTTTCATTTAATTATTTTATTATTGCTTTTTTTTCTTTTTTTTTTGTATATTTATTTATCTATTCTATATTTATTTCATATAATTATTATTGTTTTATTTCATTTATTTCAGTTATTTTTTTGCATATACTTTTTATTGTTAGAATTTATTAATATTATTATTGTGTTCCATTTAATTATTTGTATATTTATTTATTAAATATTATATATATATATATATATATAAATTTTTTTTGGATATAGAATATTCTAGGATCACTTTAGGATTTAAACATTCTTTTCATGAGTTTGTAATGAAAAAGAAAAAACATCTCTTCCCATCATTTTAATATGAAAAGTGACATAAGTAACTTCTTCCCAAAATCAGTAATCTCTTAAAGGGGTCATATGATGCGATTTCAAGTTTTCCTTTCTCTTTGGAGTGTTACAAGCTGATTGTGCATAGATAAGATCCCTAAAGAGAGAGAGAGAGAGAGAGAGGGTCACGTCACAGTGGAGTCAGCTGTCTTAACCGTGGCTTGTGTACTGCAAACACATACCAGCTTCATCACTCTCTGTCACGCGCCTCTGTTCCCTTTAGGGCTCTGTCTTTACATTTATTTTGAAAGATGAAGCTGGTGATTATGGTAAGGGGCGTTACATTTCCGACAAGTGCTTGCGGTGTTCGGCCAATCACAATGCACTGGGTCAGCTGGCCAATCAGAGCAGACTGCGCTTGTCGGAAGGAGGGACTTTGTAGAAAACGAAGCGTTTGAGAGAGGCGGGGCATAGAGGACCTACAATAATGTACAGTATTTGAAAAAGAATGTGTTTTTTGAACATTAAAGCATGTCAGCATATTCTGTTACACCAAATACACAAAATAATGATCTTTAAAAAAGTATCATATGACCCCTTTAATACTACTCAGAACATCTGGAATGGGGAATGGAGATATAATTGTGTGCTTACGGTTTTCAAGCTTGATTCAACTGGACAGAGAGATTTTGTAATTTTATGCTCCGGTTGTGTGTTTGATGCATCCTCTTGCTCTCTGTCTAGTGCACCATCTCGTACTATCAGACGATGCATGTGCAGACAGCAGCGCTGCCGGTGCATTTCCAGACGCTCTGTGAGAGCTGTAAGCTATACGATCTGGGTCAGCAGTACGCAGCATACGTCAAAAACCTGCAGCTCCGCACAGAGCTGCCTGTCCAGTACCAGTTTGAGGCGTACTCCGCATCCAGCCACCAGTAAGACGACATCCAATTAGAACACATCGTTTGCTTTAAAGATCAGTGGTCAAAGTATAATGAGAACTTAAATGCTTCAGGAATTGAATGAAATGTTGAAATAACATGGTTTTGAATTCAGAAGGAAATGGAGTTGTTGTTTTTTAATCAGGCACGTTCGGACCCGTAACAACAGTCTCTGTAATGACCAGCGGCAGAACAGCTCTGAAGCTCCGCCCACTGCAGAGGAGGCGGGGTTTGGGGAAGGAGCTATGGTTAAACAAAGACGAGGTCAAGGTCAGTTTTAATGAACAGAAATCAGCTTTTAAGGGACGAACACACAGGACATGTACTTAATTTATACATTAGAAGAGATGCTGTCAGTTTAAACGCCCCTTGTGGCTGCCTTGCAATTTTAAGTGGTCATGTGTTGTTTTTGCAGGTAGAGACCATCATCAAGCTCATAAGTCCTGGCCGTCCACCCTGAGTGACACTGACAGTGTTGGTCCGGGAAGTGGACTGGGTTCCCCGACCTCCAGCACAGGTATGAAACAAATCCAGACCAGTCTGGTATATGGTAATAAAATCGTTTTTAAAAACAATAATGTTGTGTAATGTTTCGGTCTCAGGTGATATCTCAAAACCTTCAAGGCCAGTTTCTGCAGCCACATTTTCATCCAATGAAGATTTAGAGGAGCGAGACGGTGCCATGACCCCATTTGAACAAAGTGAGTGACCGATTACAGAGAACATCTGAGAAGCAGAAACTTGAATGAATAGTTCAGCCGAAATTAAAATTTGCTAAAAATCGACTCACCCTCAAGTCATCTACATCTTGGATGTGTAGTACATAGTGATATATGTTGAGTGTGTCTGGGCGTTGGTTGTGTTTTAGGTATAAATGGAATTGAATCGGAAAACGCGGCGCCCACTGGACCTTTCAGAAACGTGGGATTGTCCAAAGCTGCAAAAACCCATCGACTGCGCAAACTGCGCACGCCATCAAAGTGCAGGGAATGTGACAGCTACGTTTATTTCCAGGGAGCAGAATGTGAGGAGGTGAGACCATTTCAGTGGATTTATATTGTTGACTGAATCATATGAAACTGTAGGTTGATACCTGCAAATCAACTGATTGTGTAAAACAAGTTTATTGTTCGATCAGATCACTGATGTACAACGTCAAGTCGCATTTATTTATATAGTGCTTTATACAATACAGATTGTTTCAAAACTGCTTCACAGAAAAAAACAATGAATTAAATTATGAAACCACTTCAGTTTCAGCTGTAAAGCAGCTCTAAAGAAGACAGTAGTGTTATTTAGCTTTATTCAGTTCAAGTTTTGTTCTCATCCGATAGTGTAACGTGTGTTTTAGTGTTTTCTGGCGTGTCATAAGAAGTGTCTGGAGTCTCTGGCCATCCAGTGCGGTCATAAGAAACTCCAGGGCCGCTTGCAGCTCTTTGGCCGTGATTTCTCTCAGGTCCTGCAGGGCGACGTGGAGGGTGTTCCCTTCATTATCAAGAAATGCATCACTGAGATCGAGAGGAGAGCACTCAAAATGAAGGTGCGAGAGGAAAGCTTTGAAAATAATCAAGCTGTTCTTCCTGCATTTTTCTATCTGATTGGTTTGAATGTTTATGTCTGATAAATGTATTGTTTTTTGCATATTCATTCTGATTGGTCAGTTTACCTCTGCTATACATGATGCCAACTTCCTAATTCTCACGCAGGCTACCAAAAAAATTCATGTAAAAGAGCAAATAAACATATTTATGCATCATATGCATGTGAGATATGCACATAAATTATTGGTTAATTGCATCACTTGCTTATATACTTTTTTTTTTTTTTCATTTTGCAGATTTGAACACTATTCCCAAAACTTTTAAGCCAGACATGAAATAATAGTCAGAAAAAAAATGTTTTTTTTAAATGGAACAGTTTATTAAACCTTTAGATAAAATATAAAAACAAATCTTTAAAAAAGTTTGCATATGCGTTTTTGTTGAGTATAATATTTGATACTGTACATCAGGCTTTTATGGCTCATATAGTCTGATATAGTGAGAATATGGAGGAGAAAACAGCTCAGTTTTATTCTGAGCATCAAACTGAGCAAAAATATGTAATTTGGTGCCGATGCTGATATTTATATGGACAAAAAGATGAAATTCTGATGCCTATAATGTAAATCAATGAGATCTTCATAACAGTATAATAGACTACTTATATACATGATATACATATCAGTCATCTCTCTATATATCTTCAATAATATGTCTTGGTAAAATGAGATTGAAACGATCCAAACATATAATGCAATGCAATCCCATGATGATTGTGAGATGAAGAAATAAACGTTCTTCATATGAGCCTGATGATCATATTTGAGACTTGCATTTGAACATGATTTTATGGAGAATCAGGTAAAGCAAAGCTGCTTCAGTACAGTAATTTTCTTCTAGAAATATGACTACAGTTATTCTGACGTTTACTTGATAAAAATCAGTAAAGATTTGACAGCAGAAAGACACGTGAAGCAGCAGCTGAAGCTGGACGTTTGTACAATTATACTGAAAGAGCTTTTACTGGATAAAAACTATAAACTATCAACTTGATGACAGAAGGCATGGAGTAGATTGTGTGCAACAGGTTTAAGTTTTCATCATGTTGATCAGTTAGAGGCATTTGCGTATCAAAGATGAGATTGAAATGATCCAAACATATAATGCAATGCAATCCCATGATGATTGTGAGATGAAGAAATAAACGTTCTTCATATGAGCCTGATGATCATATTTGAGACTTGCATTTGAACATGATTTTATGGAGAATCAAGTAAAGCAAAGCTGCTTCAGTACAGTAATTTTCTTCTAGAAATATGACTACAGTTATTCTGACGTTTACTTGATAAAAATCAGTAAAGATTTGACAGCAGAAAGACACGTGAAGCAGCAGCTGAAGCTGGACGTTTGTACAATTATACTGAAAGAGCTTTTACTGGATAAAAACTATAAACTATCAACTTGATGACAGAAGGCATGGAGTAGATTGTGTGCAACAGGTTTAAGTTTTGTAGAGACTCTGATCGTCTTCCAGCAGAACATCTTCATCTCGTCCTCTTCCTCGGTCAGCTCTCCAGACCAGAGCCAGGTCTGCACAGAAGCATATCTGATCTGATGTAGTATGCAGGTTTATACAGGAGAGTCAGCGATTGATGGGGTTTAATCACAGCACATTTCTGATCACAGCTCTCATTGTAATATATTCCTTTATTCAGGACTGTGAGACTGGAACTCATGAAGAGCCAAACAGAGCGGATCTGGAATGTGGTGAGATACATACATATTAGAAATAGAAATATTAGAATGAACAAATATGAAGTAATTTTTTAATTATTTTTAATGTGTTTGTGTTTGTAAATTAAGTGGATCTGGAATGTGGTGGGATATATTAAAGCAATAGTATAATTATAATTAATAAATATTTAAACAATATTTGTGTCTTTAGAAAATGTATTAAAATATATAAATTTTTACAAAATTATTTATTTAAATATTGATATTAACATATTTAAATATGAATATTATTTAAAAAATACTTGGGTTTTTCATGAAGAGACGAGTGGATCTAGTGATTTTTAATATTTAAAATATTAATATTATTAATTATTTTCTGTGCTTGAGTTTGTGAATTTTGGTGGGATATATTGGAAATATTATAATTAGAATGAATAAATATTTCAATAATATTTTTCTTTTTATTATTTTAAATATTATTATGTTTATTAATATGTTTTTATTTCGCTTGGGTTTGTGAAATAAGAGGATTTGGGATATGTTTAATATTTTAGATATTTTAGTATTCATACATATTAGAAAAAACTGAATAAATATTAAATAATATTAATATTAATAATAATATTATGTATCCATAGGATTGTTAATTTGTCTTGAATTATATTAGGATTAATATTGGAATTAGCAATTGAAATTTTATTTAAATGACAGATACAATTAGTAGTTTAGTAGTCATATATATTAGTTCAGATCACAAAATTTGTTGAAATATTCTGATTTTTGTATTTTTTTAAATCGTGCCGTCCTACCTTTGATCAAGTGTATGTTTGTTCCTCTGGTTCTTCAGGTCATTCCGTGGGTTCCTCTGGTTCTCAGGAGCGTTCTCTGGACTCTGACTCTGACGTGGAGGATCTGGGCAGAGGAAGCCGACCGCAGCGCCCTCCTCTGGTGAGACAGGAGAGTGAGACCAGCACTGAGGAAGACCAGATGAGTCCCAGAGTGAGTCTGGACCTGAGCGGACTGGTTCCAGAGACCATCCCAGAGCAGACGGACGGTACAGACCCGCAGGAAACCAGCGCAGAGCAGGTCTCAGATCAGTAAGACGAGATGTATTACGAATTTAAACAGGTCAATATACATTTCAACTATTAGAGATGTACAACAGGAGAACAAGTGTTATGTTTATATACATACATTCCTAAAAGTCAGATGAATAACATTAAGAATAAGGCGAACACTCAGTGACCTCTCATGCCGTTTTTTCTATAACTGAGATAAGTGTCGTTTCACATATTAGCTGATATGAACTGGATGTTGTTTATATAATGTTGGTCTCTTTCAGATTTCAGATTCAGATGATGGTGGTTATATTCCCTCAATTATAATACGTTTGCGCACTAGTCTGTATAAACCACCATTTTCATAACCTGCAACTAATTACTGTCTTTCAAAAACAAACATAAACGTCATTACTATTATTATTTAATAGGATCTCAAGGCGAGTCAGTGTGTTGTAGTTATTAAAAGTGCTTTGCTTAAAGTCTCATATTTTTCTATACATTTTTGTTCAGAAGTACGTGTCTCTTTTAGGAGCTTGTAACGTTGTATTTTACAATATTTATTATAGTTTCATCTATGCACTGGAGTTTATTGGCAAATAAGCAGAAAATGGTGTGACGGTTAAACTGGTCTAACAACAGCCAGACTGCTGGTCAGAGCTGGTTTTAACGCTTATGCAATGCATTATAAAATGTTTATGCATATTTCTATTCTAAACATTTGCTTCATTTGTAATAGTGTGTATATTTCATTACTAATGTTGTTCCAGCAGCACTGTACTGTCTTACTAAACTACATATGGTTTAAACCATGCTGGGACTGTAGCTTCATCTCAACCATGTTAACTAAAGCCTTTAACCATTTGACTTGACTGATAAATGCGTAACACCACAGAAATTAAAGACATTTGTGAGTGAATTGTATATTCTGAAACTGTATATATTTTTTAGAAAACATCTATATGCAATAAATCTGTAATTTCTACTATATTTGCGATGAATCATTTAGTTTGTGAACTTGTGTGTGCTTAGGTTTGTGAATTAATCAGATCTGTAATGTAGTGGAATATATATATTAGAAATAATATAATTAGAATGGGCATATATTTCTATCTTTATTATTTTAAATATTCATGCAATTTTTGAATTAAGAGGATCTGGAATGTAGTGATCTATAAAATAATATTATTCAATATTTATATTATATATATATATATATATATATATACACACACACACACATATGTATATATATACACACACATATACATATATATATTAGGGCTGTGCAATATATCGAAATATCGCAATATGCGTATCGCTACGGCTTGCAATATTTGGGGCCATGAACAAAAGACAAAGAGAAAATCACTCGCTGCTCTTACCTAAATAACTTTTGTAGCTTAAATAAGAATCAGTGCATATTGAATTCAAAGAGTAAATACTAAGCAGTGTTGTATTTTTCCTTTTTATTATTCAGTTCCTAAACTCACGTTAAAATGATTACACTGTTAAAATGACATTTTTATGTAATGCTCGAGTAAAACACTACCGTTCACTTTCAGAAGTTGTTGTAGGGGTGCTTTCTTATTAGAATCAGAATCAGAATGAGCTTTATTCACCACTTAAGTGTGCGCAAACACAAGGAATTTGTTGTGGTTTTACAGGAACTCTTGGTACATACATACATACAAATAACCATATATATATGACACAAGATAGTTATAGAAGTTCACAGAACTGACTCCGCAACAGCTGAGTAAAACTGTTTCATCTGAGCATGTGGCACTTTAAGCATTATCGTATCGCATATCGCGATATATATGTATACACGTACATAAATTACTATATAAATTGGGATTAAGTTTTTGCCATTAATGCATTAAAAATGCATTAAAAATAACACCGTAACAAAACCATTCATTAAACATTTATTTTTATAGAAGTTAAAGATAAATCTAAATTCATAATTGTTGCCTTCGATCATAAGAAACTCAGTCCTCCATTATAAGAAAAAAAGAAATAGACAGCAATGAAAAGCCAGTCACAAGACAAACAGAAAGCAAAACAAAACATGTGTAACTCTTGAGTTTGGCATCAAATAAAAATAAACACACTGGTCCTCACTGTTCGAGTCTGTATGTGATGTATCGTCCAGCTGTTTCACTCGGCCGGATGATCTTCACCATCTGTCAGACAGAAATCAACACCTTTATAACTAAATACTGCTCCACCACTGTGTGCTTCTCAATGCTGATATCCAGGCTTACACACTTCAGACTAAATAATCTCTCAATCCATGATCGTAAAGCACCAGATTTCAACTTCAAGTAACACAAAGAATGAGTTAATGAACGTTTTCGGACTCA